ACCATGCTGAGTTTAGAGCCTTTCGTGATAAGAGAAGATAGACCAAAAGCTGTGACACAACTTGCTGTCAAAGCRTAGTATGTATTAACAATAGCTCTATATTGCAGAGTCCCTTCAAGAAGGACAGCATTTAGGCTTGGCCAGTAGACCCACAGAAATAATGTCCCTGAAAGATATGTAGGAAGTTCACAAGTTAGYATAGATGGTAGGTGCATGTACTTCATGATTGGATAATGAATGATAATTAACATTATTTAATGAAAATGCCAAAGGGTGGTGATACAAAAAGGCTTTCAAATAGCTGACTTGCACCATTTTGCCTTGGTAGTCAAACACAACTTATCAAGGTGAGGCACTGTGCATAGTTCATATCAGTCTTGAGTAAAAAGTATTTTACAATAGACCTCTGCAGCTTTTACTTCATGTACCGTATACGCAATGCATTGTAGGATATGTTTGGGACAGAACATGGTGGATTTCTTTTGTTTTCTCTTGAAACTGATCCCACAATGCATTGAAAATCAAGTAGTGATGCAAAAGGTTCAGAAGTCTATTGATGAAGCTTTATGCACGGTGCTTTGTTTTGTTTTTGACTACTGAGGTCAAATTCACAAATTGGCTATTTCCCAGGGGTACTGGATGGGCATGTTGGTAGAGTCATTTTTAAAATGGTCCATCAAGCTGCCCTTTCCATTTTTCAAGGTAGTTCCAAAGGGGGGAACTAATGCCACTATGTGCATTTCAATATATTGAAGTCAGAAACATCCAAAGAAAATCATTTTCAATTGATTGGATGTGACAAAAAATAGCTCACCTGTGGCTGCAAATAAATCTGAMGTGTATCTTGAAGTCTCATTTTCATGAGCAACGGCTCTTGTTTGGTACAAAATACGAGTGACCATAAGACCAAAACATGAACCAAATAAATGAATATACATGCCGCCTCCATAGTCCACAGCTTGTAAATACTTAGTGCAAATATTTCTGTTTAAAATGTAATAAGTGACCTCAAAAAAGGCAATGACCATAAGTTGTAGATTACTTGTCTTGCCGAGGATGGCCCCAAAGGTGATTATTACKGTCAAAGTTGCGAGATCCCCTGTTACAAGGCTGTCATGGAAAAAAAGGAAACTTATAATAATTAAGATCTTTAATAAATAATTATAATAATAGTTTATAAAAGTTCTGTTGCAGTATGAAAACTGAAAAAAAATTTTTGGAATACTGTTTGAGATATAAAAGTTTCTAGAGTTGTATTTAGAMATACATGTCAAGACTTTTTTTCCTTTTTTTTTCATTTTCATTTTCGATTTCATGTCATAACGTAACATTAATAGACGGAAAATTTAATTTTGATACAAAACATCTCAGCAAATTAATTAAACTTAGYAATATTAACCTGTTAATTCCAAGTTGTATTTTGTCATTTTTCATGTTAAGAAATCCGTCCATCACAGCTGCCCATTGCATTGTTACTCCTGCTATCAAAAACGTATACCCTAGCCCACTAAACCCATATTTCTTCAGAAATAACAACAGCAACCCAAATCCGACCACCACTAGAGTATGGACGTCTTGAAAAACTGCAAAATAAACAAGTTTTACAAGTGTAAAAGGTACTGAATATTGCTAGTTTGAACTCTCTAGAGAATGATTTCAGTAGATATTGAACAACGGAGAAAATCAGTAATTTAAACTAGCTGTTGGACACGATGTTGCATAGTAGTTTAGTTTTTTCTMTCGAATGCAGCGCCATCTGATATGACAGCGTGAAAAACCAATYACTTACCAGGATATTTCGAGTCAATAACTGCCTGATTGCTCGCTTCAGGAAGTGTATCTTCATCATACTCCACAAAAACTACGAAAATTATGATTAAAAGGCCCTGCAAAAGTATCAGCAAGCTTGAAAATTTGCCCCGACTGTTTTCCTTGACGGCCATTTTGCCGGCGCGCAACAGTGCCGGTGTTCCGGTCAGCTTTTTGTGTGGGGGTACCCTAGGTRGGTGTTCTGTACTAAAATAAACAACTCATTWATTGAAAACCTTAAACGCCAAATCAATTATTTCAAATAAAAAAACTATATAGGGTTACTTTCAAATTACATTTCKCAAATAAGATATTTTATTTAATTCAAAAATATTTATATTTTGTTGTTATGGAACGATATCGCTTCCCTAGGGCCTCCCCCCTGAGGTGTGCTCTTCATGAACCGGATATAATTTTTTTTTAATCCGGTTCCTTATTTTTGAATGATATCACCTATATTCTAAAATGTATATTTTTCCAGACTACAACGGAGGCTTTGACAAAAAATGATGAATTGATAAAAATTGAAAACATGCGGGAGTTAGAATATTAGAAGTCTTGACGTTTAAATYGGGTACCCTGTGCCTTTGCATTTGGGAAAAACCCATATATGTRTCATCTAGTTGAGAATGTTGGCCAGTTTTTTCTTGGTAGCRGTGATTATAATAATCATTTATTACTATGGATTCAAGTTCTACRATCCTCGCTTGCCRCCAGGTCCAATTCCCTTACCYTTGATAGGAAATCTTCACCTTCTTCAAGGCGATCTTCATGTATGTTTGACGAAYCTATCACACAAATATGGCGACGTGTTTCGACTCTATATTGGCGGGAATTTAGTCATTGTACTTAATGGCAATGCAATAAGAGAAGGGTTGGTGAGAAACCCTGTTAATTTTGCTGGAAGACCATTCATGTCTTACTATAAAGTAGCACTTAGAGACGACATTCCTTTAGTGTTAGTGGACTATGGGGAACACTGGAAGATACACCGAAGACTAGCCCATCGAGTGATCAAAGTTTTTGGTACAAACCGCTACGAACTCATTATCCAACGAGAAATTWCTGAGTTATTCAACAGAATCGATAAAGCAGGAAATGGTCCAGTTTTTATTAAAGTAGAAATAGCTTTATCCGTCATGAACATTATTTGTACCAAGATATTCAATTCGCGGTACGAAGTCGACGATTCGGAATTCCTCGAGATGTTCCGATTGCAAGCCGAGCTGTTTCGATTAAGTGTCGTCGCGGGACAAAGTCTTGTCGATTTATTTCCGATTTTAAGGTTTATATTGCCCGTAAGTGGTGACGTAAAACAGTTRCAAGTGACGAACGACAAATGGCGCGCGATACTTGAACGAAAAATCCGTGAACACCAAACGACATTTGATAAAGAGAATTTGAGGGATTACACAGACTTGATTTTGAACGCCAAGGTAGAAGCGGAAAAAGAAAATTCGAGCGACSTCRAATATTTACAGGAAAGACATTTGGTAACATCTATAACAACTTTGTTCATAGCAGGATCKGAAACTGCGGCGACTACTATAGTATGGTCCGTTTTGTACCTTYTRCATTTTCCCGCCATCCAGCGCAGGCTTCATGCAGAAATTGATGAAAAAGTCGGGCTGAAAAGACCKATAGATTTAAACTTAMGGAAGTCTTTGCCTTACTTAGAAGCATTCATCTGTGAAACGATGCGCTTCACAAGTATWCTTCCCCTTTCAGTGCCCCACAAAGCAACTATTGATACCACTTTACAAGGGCACTTAATACCTCAAGGGGCTACAGTGATAGTTAACATTTGGGCCCTCCACCATGACCCTTCTATGTGGAAAGACCCCTATTGTTTCTGCCCCGAGAGATTTCTTGATGAGGAAGGCAAGTTTGTGTTCCCTGATGGGGRCCGTTTTCTGCCATTTGGGGCAGGTCCACGTGCGTGCATGGGAGAAGTMCTTGCACGATGTGAGCTCTTTCTATTTTTAGCAAATCTTCTTCAAAAGTATCAGTTTGAGAACCCCTCTGACATCRACCTTCCTTCCCTTGAGCCCCTTCCAGGGGGAGCAGTACTTCAACCTAGGATTGAGAAAGTACTCATCACGAATAGATTTCCAGAGTAAAATGTGTACTGCCTACACGAACCTTACTGTTGTGACGGACAATTGGCGTTTTCACGTCGATCAAGAAACTTTTTTAAAAAATCGTCGAGCGAATAGACCTCTGCAGCTTTTACGTCATGTACCGTATACGCAATGCATTGTAGGATATGTTTGGGACAGGCGGATTTCTTTTGTTTTCTCTTGAAACTGATCCCACAATGCATTGAAAATCAAGTAGTGACGTAAAAGGTTCAGAAGTCTATTCTTCACTGCAGTTTAAAATGTTTTTTGTAATGCGTACTCTCATTGGCTTATGGCCATTTTTAAATATATCAACTTCAGAGGTTTGCTCTTCATTTGCTGATAAAAGGAATAAAATTTTGGTAATTCTTATGTATATAATTAAAAGCTACGTTTAATTCGAAGTTAAATTTTGTCGATCATGCGATTCTGGATTGGGTTAGCTGTGTATTCCTTACATCATTACGTCATGGGTCACTGGTAACTAATAATAGAATCCATTCTAACCAATCAAATCCCAGGATTTCTAATTATTCATGCCATATGGTGTGTTTTGTTTTCTCAATCTTGGTCATTCGACGTGACTTGCAGATTGTTGAGAAGGAAATATCTGAGTTTGTAGCTCACGTAGGTTCCAACCTTCGAGGATTTTCATTGACTTCAAAAATGGAGGATTTTTTCGACGAATATGAACACTACAACTTTGACAAGAACTCTGTGAACATTACACACTCTCGTAAGGGACGCACAAAACGCGAGGCAAGCCAAAACACAAACCGATTTAACCCTGGAGGAAACGAGCGAAAGATTGTCGAAAAGTTTCGTAACACAGAGAAGAACCGAAGGGCCAAAGAATCTAAGAAATAGACTGCAATAACATCAAGGTTTTGGACGTATTTTGACGCTCAAAGAATCGGACTTTCTCAACGGACGACGAATTCAATGATGTGAAAATATGGCGGAAGGCAATCGTTTGATTGTCTCAAATATTTAATATAGCACCGAACTATAGTACATAAATCGACCTGGACTGTCGAATGGTACTGGTGAAGATATATTTTCTATGATAATTTCTAAAGTAATTAATTTTTCGAAGGCTTTTTTTAGTCTTCCCAGCGTTTTGTAAATAACTTTGTTTGTGAGAGCTGTGCAGCTGGAAAACGACAAGCTTGTCAAATAAATTTTGCATGCGTGTGTAATAATATCTTCTAAAAGTCATGAATTTTTTTCGCATAATTTAATTGTTTCGTATGCATCTAAGCAGATTAAATTGTGGTAGAATTTGTGGCTTATAGATAACCAACGTTTGCGAAAAATAAATCTATCTTTAACACGCGGAGAAGGTGTTTTCTTTCTGCAGGTCTAACAGGTTTTTTTGTACATTTATGTTGCTCTTTTAAAAGAGCAAACTGGTGAAAACTGGTGCTAATTAAAGAAAAAAACCCTGTCATTTCTCGTGCTGCTTTGATACAAGGCTGGCCATTTTCCAGAGACGAAAACAATGATAGGTCACTTTGGATTCTGGGTCACTGCACGATGGTCTGTTTTAACCTGAGTATCAGGCCTTCGAGGGCCGTTTTCCACCCCGAGAGCCTGATACTCGGGTTAGGTCTGTTTGGACTAAAGCTTCTGTGAGAAGTCAAATGTAGGGGAGGGGAATAGCTTTTATGTTTCTGAAGAAAATAGAAGTGATTTTGATCTTTGTTCAATGAATGCTCTTTTATCAAGCTTTCAGTCTCTTTCCCGTCCCTGACTTTAGTGTTGGATGTGACGTCACATACAGTACTGTATGCCTTGTTTGCCCGGTATAATTGTTAGGGGGCTGTTCACTGATCTAGTTGATCTCACGCATTACGCAGTCGACATTAAAAGTTATCCCACAATTCTTAGTTAGCCTAGATCACATGCATTAGGATCGGAGTTTCGGAGAACAATGGGTCCGCCATCTTTAAAAGTGGAACTCGAATCGCTAAACTATAATCCTAAAGAAATTGAAAGAGTAAGCTAATGCCGAGTAAATAAAATACGATATAATGAAAGAATAGTTGACTTAGCAAATACGGAATGTGTTCTAAGGCACAACATAGCAGACATAGTGATTCGGGTCTCACTTTTCAAGATGGCGGACGCACTGTTCCCAAAACTCCTGATGCCAGTGCATGAGGACGAGCCTATCCCACATGGTCTAGTGCCTCATTATCTTATCCGACTAGAAACTTCCCCCCACTACCTCAACCATATCCAAAATCACATGTTTATTCATGACAAATGCTATCTTCAATGTGATCAACATTGATATGACACCAAGCTCCAGGACAACCATCAACAATTCGTATTTGCGCTATTCTCCCGCGATAGTTTTCCACATTAAACGTTTTTTGATTCATTGTTTCATGCYTTGAGCCAGTCGCCTGAGCGATCACATTCCCATCGACCAGTAGCTCGACACGYTCCTTTGTAATGTCTTTGCTGCCACCGACTAGAAGCTTCAATGTCCTTCCCCTGATGACGAACTTCGGTGACGTCATAATCCCAGTTGGCAAATCACCGACTATTTCCCCTGGTAGGTGAGAGGGACTGGATCGATTTTCGTATGTTCCTATCCACCAGTCTCCTCGGTGATTGGATGGTTGGTCTCGGCGATTCCTGGCTGTTGGGTTATCGCCATAAGTCGGCTGATTGCTGAATGCTGTACCTGTAAGCGTCCATTCGTCGATACCATTTTCAAAATCAAAGATCACACATTCTGTTTATAAAGAGTTAGAGTTGAAGATCACATATTCTGTTATTCCGTGTTTATAGAGGGTTAGTTAGTTAGAGTTAGAGTTAGAGTTAGAGTTAGAGTTAGAGTTAGAGTTAGAGTTAGAGTTAGAGTTAGAGTTAGAGTTAGAGTTAGAGTTAGAGTTGAAGATCACACATTCTGTTTATAAACCTTGCAGCCCGTGATAACTTGTATGACTTCAGAAAACGTATAAGAATGTGTAAATTATGCCCTGGGTAAAACTTTCAGCCACCCACCAAAATCACACAGAGCTAAGAGGATACATTAATGGATCTATGAGGCTTATTTTTCTTGTCATCTCACTAAAAGACGAGGATGKCCAATTTACAACACTCCACTTAGACATCAAGCCGAGTAACACACAGCTTCACTGAACATTGCGCTTTACGCGCCCTGTTTTAGTTTATCCCAGATTATGAACAAACACAGCAGTAAGCTAACTCTAACTTCAACTCTAACTCTAATTCTAACTAACTCTTTACCATAAAGAAGTACTAGCCACTTGTCTCAAGGGTTTTGCTTATGAAAACCGGTAAAACAAGTAAAAGTATGATTTACCTTTTTGACAATTCCTTCCCGCGTATTTACCAGTGCAGTTACATATGTAGTGGTATGGACCATCGTCGAGAATACACTGACCGCCATGTTGACAAGGTTTCTTGGAGCATTTCGTCTGCACACAAAGAATCAATAACAAATRTCAAGCAAAGACGTTTACAGTAAATGGAGTGAGTGAGTGAAACAGGAAGCTGGCTCTTTTTACCTCACATCACAAAGAAATAAAATGAATGCATGGTTTCTCTCGGAACGCTGAAATGAATGCAGTGAAAACGGCATAGAAACCTGTATACGCAATGTGCCGTTAGCGCATGCTCATGAAATGATACATTAACCATAATCTCGTTCCAGAGCAAACGTTCCTCTTGGTCTAGACACCAGGTCTCCTCGTTCCTAAGSGCAGACCAAGAGGAACAACATGAGCTCTGGAAAGAGATTGATTTTACCCAATAAGAAGCATCGGAAGACTGCACGTATCGGTAGCCAAGCATTCCCACATGTGACTGGGGACAGTGCTCCTTTGTACAGTTGTTCAATTGACACATATCATTGCCATTGCGATCTTTGTAAACATTAATAGAATAACAGTCCRGTGAGTCCTGACACGTGACTAAGCACTCGGGAAGAATGTTGGGGACAGTCTGGATCACGTGACCAACCAATGCGAATCCGTCGTCGATCTTGTATGAAACCGGTAAAAACTGGCTTTTCAGCATCGTCATCATTGTTATAATCGCTGTGATGATTAGAAAAACTGTGGATGATTTCATACCCATTGTGAACTAGTTGAGGCCGATTGATTGACAGGTTGTAATAATACTCATTTTTATCACGTTTGGCGTTTCTTCATGTTTTTTTTTTATATGATTGGAGATATTCGTTACAATTGATGCTTTTAGTCTGTGTAATGTCAAAGAAAGACTAGGAGTAGAATTTCCAACTCAGGTTTCTTCGGCTGGGAATTCTGTAAATGTGCTGATGTAAATTCCATTTACGGGATATTTACAACGTCTGTAAATTTCCTGTTGATCTGTCCACAATCCTGTAAATAACCTGTCAAAGGAAGACTAGGAGTAGTGATTTCCAACTTAGTTTTTTTTTGAGCGTTAATTAACAAAGAAGCACAGCAGTCTTTTTGTTTGTTTGTTGTTATCCGCAGCTTCAAATCTTTTCTTCTCTACAGGTTCTTTTTATCTTTGGCACACTGTTTGTACACCGCAGCCAAAGAAGAGACGACGCGTTGAGCTATGAAGGTCAGCGATACCTGAAAAGAGACCGCGGTGAGATTGAAAATATTAATCGCTTAATTTTAAAATCGAATTTTAATTATTTTTTTAATTAAATATCGTAAAGTATTGCTGCAATAACGTTGATTGTTGTTGTTGTTTTCGGGATTCTAAAATGCTGGTTTAGGAAATCTAAACCAGCATTTTAGAATCCCGAAAACAACATCAAAAATATTAATTACGAAATGCAAAATTTAACACTGTTTCAAGCAAAGTATATCGTTTATTTTTTTCATCGATACTGCATTTCATCAGGGTCTTAATGGGGGGTCTCAATGTCGGTTATTAAAAAAAAGTTGATAAACATTAAGTTTAAATGCATCTAAAACGGTGCTTTATACCAACAGAATTCTTTCTAAAATGCCAACAATTGAATCCTCGAGTCTTGATTGGTCAATTGGATGCCCTTGTAGTTTTAGAGTGGCTCATCACAACTTCAAGAAGCCAATCCGAAGCAAAATTTATTTTTTTCCGCGGAAAATTTCGAATGTAGTTGCTTGAAAAATWAAAAAAAGCTTGTATTCACGGAGCTAACATCTTTGAATATTGGAAAATGTCGCCAGTCAGTAAATTTGTTAATGTCRGTAGTCAGCAAATTTGGTTCAAATTTGTCGCTAGTCAGTAGTTATTTTGTCCATTTGTCGCTAGTCGGTTAACCCCATTCAGACCCTGTTTCATGCATTATTCCCTCTYACTATCTATTTCGACCTAACAATTTAACACAATGATTCAATTCTCTACCATTTGGTCGTCGCTATAGTGATATAATTGTGATAAATTCATTGTTCCTTATTACGGTTATTTATCTGAACATTTACTTTGTCAGTTTTTTAACCAGATTCGAAAGAAATCTCGTTTGGCTCAGAAACACTCGAATTCGCTTGTTTTAGACGTCGGACTTTCTAGGCATCGATTTTCTGAGCTATTAATTAATTAGCCGGAATTCGGAACGGAATGTTTCGATGGGTACAATGCACTCTCCGGCTRATTATGAAAAGGATTGAAAGAAAAACAATTTGTCATATAACTTTATCATKAAACTAAGACGTGTAGCATCTAGTGGCTGATTATACGGTTGCTAATATTTTTTTCCCAAAAATATTGACTTGTTTACCTAATCGTAATACTCCAAAAATGACGATTAGACGTCCAAGAACGTCCAGATGAAGGTCATTAATTATATTCATTGTCGAAAAAAAATTTCACTATTTTCAGTTCAAACAGAAATAAATAATACTATAACAATATAGTATTCTTGAAAATGTAATGAAGAACACAGTTCTGACTCTTCATCAAAATTTATCTTTTTTCATTTTCAGAAATCACTTTGGTTATTGCATAATTTAACAATTTCTAACTTCATTCAAAAGTTCGGTTATAGTTCTCAATGAAATTTCGAAACTGGAATGACTTATTCGGGGCTTAGGAAGAGTCAAAACCGTTTCATTATTAAAGTAATACCGTAGAATCTTGCCGCCTTTTTCAATACGCATCCATCGACTTTAGTTGCCTGAGCTACCGTCATGAATTATTGATAAGCAGTCGAAATGATACAAACGTCAATGAATAGTTGGAAGTGTGAACAAAATCAAAATATTGTAACAACATTGAACCAAAATGCAATTGATTATAACAAAAATATAGAAATAGAAATTATGATATGGGTAAATATAAACAGAAAAAGGAAATATGAATGAGACCTACATTGATTCCTAAAAGCAAAATTTTCCGCGGTTTTAAATCATGAACACGCGTTTATTTTTTGTTGTGATAGCCATCCCTAATGAAGACATTGGGCAGTTGATGGAGCTCGATTACACAACCATCCCCCTTTAACTTGAAAAAATCGAGCGCTTTAAACGTTGTAAATTTGATGTAAATATGATGTAATTGTCCAAAATTCTGCAAATTTGATGTAAATGATTTCTATAAAATTTACAGAATTTTGGACACTTACATCATATTTACATCAAATTTACAACCTTTAAAGCGCGCGATTTTTTCCAGTGTTCCGTTACACCATCGCTTACGTAGAGTACCTCTTGGGATCCCTGTGGAAGAGCCGCTACGAAGGCTACATTCCCCCTGGGTTTAGAAAAACGTTTATACTACTGAAGCCATTTTCGAAAATACTCGATAGCAGTAAATATCACTGACCAACTCAGTAGGAATGATAAAATGTATTGTTATTGTGCTAAACAATTTTTGCTGTTTGCGCTAAACTGGTACTTAGTTTCCTTCTTATTATCGTGAAGGCCAGGCTGCTTATCCAGCTGATATTTTCAAAATGGCGGACAGAATTCAAAAACTTCGCCGAAAGTCTTCAAACAAACAGCATAAAGGTAGCAAATCAAAACGTTTTGGCTTCAGGGCATCGTGGAATAATGAACAGAAAGAAATAAAGGAGGTGGAGGAGCGTTATGAAAACGTAAGCACCAGTATTTATCATAAATTTAAGTTGTATTACAACCTCTACAAAACGTCATCCCACGTGGGACTTACAGTAATTTGGTTGTAAATATGATTTATAAAACTTATTAATAATGCATAAGCTATTGCTCCAATAAGGGCTGACCATTTAATCAGGTGATTGACCTTGTAAATCTGATACAACCACTAGTGGTTGTATCAGATTTACAACACGGTCGTCACCATTGAGACAACCCAACACTAGCAAAGGTCTCAGTTTTAGTGTCGCATCATAGACCTTCACTAGGTTTTGAAGCAATCAAAGACGGATAACAGAACTCGCTTATGCAACAGATGGCTTGCTTTCCATGTGGGATGGATAATTATTCAAAATGTTCTGTGTTGCAGTAAATTGCGCATGCTTAATAGGGACTAAACTCAGCAGTTACCTTATTTGTCATTTTTCGTCATTTATCTCACTGTAATTCATGTTAATTTGTGTTGGAGTTTTATAAGTCGTTTACAACATTCGCGTCCGTGTTGTATGGGAATTACAATCTCTCGCCTGCGGCTCGAGATTGTAATTCCCATACAACACGGCCGCTCATGTTGTAAACTATAC